CACCCATTTTTTGGCAATAATGTGGGGGTGACACTTTTGTATTTGTATGTCTGATTTTGTAAACAAGTCGTTTTTAAGTGAGGTGAAACTTGGGGTATGCAAGAAATCAAACTCCTGAAAGGGGTACAGTAGTCTGGAAAGGTTGGGAATCACTGCGCTAGATCAGGGGTTCTCAACCTTTTTCTTTCTGAGGCCCCCCCCAACATGCTATAAAAACTCCCTGGCCCACCTGTGCCACAACAGCTGTTTTTCTGCATATAAAAGAAGAGGTGCGGGAACTAGGGGTGCAGCCGCACCCCCTGGCTTGAAGTGGTTTCCATCATATACAGGGTTTACAATTTGGTTCAGTGGCTCTCACCTCCACTATACAAATTGGTCCAGCCCCCCTGTATAAAACCCAGGGCCGGCATTAGTGGGTAGCAGGCAGGGCAATTGTCCATGTCCTCAAGCCACAGGGGGCCCTGCGAAGATAAGTTGCTCAGGTTTCGGCTTCAGCCCTGGATGGCGGGGTTTGGGGCAGCGGGACTTCGGCGTTCTGCTCTGGGCTCCTGTGAGTCTAATGCCGGCTCTGCTTGGGGGACCCCCTGAAACCTGCTCGTGGCCCCCAGGGGGCCTCGAACACCTAGTTGAGAACTGCTGAGCTAGATGACAGCTGTCACTCTGGTTCCTCCAAAGAGTGCGAGCTCTTATGTAGGAAGCAGAAAGGCCAGGCTGTGGCAAAAACAAAGCCACACCCAAATCAGGACACACAAATGAACTCACTTTGCCTTTCAACTATTTAATGAAGAGGCCACTGAACAAAGAACAACTTATTTTTGCCATCAACTGCAGATCGGTTTATTACTTCTTTTCTACCCTAAATTTTATAAAAAGAAGCTAAAACAGGACTAATTCTGTTCTGGGTCACACCAGTGCAATCCCATTGATTTCAATGGCTATGCACTGGGACAGCTGAGAGCAGAATTTGGTCCTTTGGGACACTTGTGACCACATTTTCAGCCAGCCCCAAACACCTCCTTTTCTTCCACATGCCCCTGATGATGGCCACAAAAGCTGCCACGTGCCTCTTTCTAAACACGAAGAATCCAGTTCAATTTGTTAGCAAAACCAGTTGCATGTTCAAAAACCAACACGCAACACCAAAGAAAATTAGGCTTCTGAGTTAAAGCTGCCATTCTCTTCTTACCTTCACATCTATAGCACAGGCACCAGAGTCCAGATGATCATAGGTACCATGAGTTGCAACACTTGGGCGCAAGAATATGAGTGACTCCCAGAAAAGTGCGACTGAAAGTGAAAACAGCAACTGAAACCTAATTACAGCCTTGTGACCGTCGTAACAGAACATCTCAGTTACAAATCTAAGGGCTTGTCTTCACTTACCGGTGGATTGATGCTGCAGCGATCGATCCACCGGGAGTCAATTTAGAGGGTCTAGTGAAGACCCGCTAAATGGATCGCTGATCGCTCTCCTGTCGACTCTGGTACTCCACCGGAACAAGAAGCATAAGGTAAGTCAACAGGAGAACAGGAGTACTTGTGGCACCTTAGAGACTAACAAATTTATTAGTCTCTAAGGTGCCACAAGTACTCCTGTTCTTCTTTTTGCGGATACAGACTAACACGGCTGCTACTCTGAAACCTGTCAACAGGAGAGTTTCTCCCTTCGACCCAGCGCAGTGTAACCACCTCAGTAAGTCGACCTAAGCTATTTCGACTCCAGCTATCATAGAATCACAGAATAGCAGAGTTGGAAAGGACCTCAGGAGGTCATCTAGTCCAACCCCCTGCTCAAAGTAGGACCAATTCCCAACTAAATCATCCCAGCCAGGGCTTTGTCAAGCCTGACCTTAAAAACCTCTAAGGAAAGAGATTCCACCACCTCCCTAGGTAACCCATTCCAGTGCTTCACCACCCTCCTAGTGAAAAAGTTTTTCTTAATATCCAACCTAAACCTCCCCCACTGCAACTTGAGACCATTACTTCTTGTTCTGTCATCAGGTACCACTGAGAACAGTCTAGCTCCATCCTCTTTGGAACCCCCTTTCAGGTAATTGAAAGCAGCTATCAAATCCCCCCTCATTCTTCTCTTCTGCAGACTAAACAATCCCAGTTCCCTCAGCCTCTCCTCATAAGTCATGTGCTCCAGACCCCTAATCATTTTTGTTGCTCTCCACTGCACTCTTTCCAATTTTTCCACATCCTTCTTGTAGTGTGGGGTCCAAAACTGGACACAGTACTCCAGATGAGGCCTCACCAATGTCGAATAGAGGGGAATGATCACGTCCCTCGATCTGCTGGCAATGCCCCTACTTATACAGCCCAAAATGCCGTTGGCCTTCTTGGCAACAAGGGCACACTGTTGACTCATATCCAGCTTCTCGTCCACTGTAACCCCTAAGTCCTTTTCTGCAGAACTGCTTCCTAGCCATTCGGTCCCTAGTCTGTAACAGTGAATGGGATTCTTCCGTCCTAAGTACAGGACTCTGCGCTTGTCCTTGTTGAACCTCATCAGGTTTCTTTTGGCCCAATCCTCTAATTTGTCTAGGTCCCTCTGTATCCTATCCCTACCCTCCAGCGTATCTACCACTCCTCCCAGTTTAGTGTAATCTGCAAACTTGCTGAGAGTGCAGTCCACGTCATCCTCCAGCTATTCACATAGCTGGGGTTGTGTAACTTAGGTCGACTTAACCCTGTAGTGTAGACCTGCCCTAAATTCGCACCGATAGCTGATTTAGGAGATCTGTTGTTATATAATCCAGTAAAAAGTACAGCACAAGTCATGTCTTCAGGTTTAGATGAGTAAGAGCATCCAAGTTCTCTGAATCTTGTTCTGGTTCTCTCTTCTCACAGGTAGTTTATTCTGTTATTGTGACTATTTCTGTCGATCTGTGTGTATTATGTCCTTATATTATGCCTATCACCATGATGAGTAGCTAGGTCAGCAATCCTTGTCATGTGTGTCACACAGTAGCACATATAAAAGTTTCTGTTCTCCCCTCTGCCCCCCATGTGCTGGTGGAGTGCCAAGTGAAATATACAAGCTCACTTGTCAGTGTCACTTGCCTCTGTTTGCAGGTGGAATAGAGCAGGAAAATTAAATTGAAACGACCTGGTTAATTTCTCTTTGCTGCTCTGCTCCAAGGCAGAATGGGGTATCAGCAAGGAGAGGAAAAAAACTAGTGAGGAAGGGAAGCAGAGAGGCTGGGGACAGGGATAAAAGCAAGGATTAGCAAACCAAGAGGAGGGAGAGGAGCAAAAGGAATGAACAGCAAAAAAGGGAGAGCAATACCGGAGACCCTTCATTGTTTGTGACGTAATGAAACCTGTTACTGAAGAAAGCTTCCTGTGGCTGGCATGACTTCAATAATTATTTTGCATTTGTTGCATTGTGCCACTTGAACACAAATAACTGCCAACCTCTGCGTGTACAAATAGAGAGAGGAGCGGTTTCACTGGGCTTTCACTAGCCTTTTGAGAAATGCTCCATGTTTCAGGAAGGTTTTAAATTCTACAAGGGTGAGGTACGCAGTCTCTGGCTTCAGTTCACAGGCTGTGGACACTACAAACCCCAAGGCTTTGGTGGCCAATCAAAAATTCAATAGACAAATCATGTATGTGCACACACTTCAATTAAGCTTCACTACCCGACTATTTCACTACTTATTTTTCTGTTCTCATCAGGCTTTGTGGATATCGTTAATTGCCTAGTACAGTCTTAATAGTCTTCTTACGCCGTTTCATCTAAGTCTTTCCCTTTCCAACTTCTCCATCCAGATACATTTTTCTTGCACACCATTTATAAAACAAAACTGCACACCTTGTTTAATTTATGTCCAGCGCTTTGTCTCCACATTTCTTGGAATGTGAATTCAGAGAAAGAATGTGCAAATACTCTTTGAAAGACATGTCAGCCTGAAACCCCCAACAGGCTGGCCTGGGCCACTCCCGACACAGAGATCTTTGTCAACTCACGAGAATCCGATTCTCAACGCGGAATTTTTAACAAGCTGATCCTGATCACCCCCAGCATAGGCTCCTCTGACTTTTTTTCTACTCTACTAATGCAACCTGAGAATAAATTAAGATGAGGGTGTATTAGAAAAGGACAGATTGTACTGCTGGAGGTGTCATTGTCTTGATGGAGAAGAAATTCAAGGTCTTTACCTCTTGTGATTGTTCTAAACCCAAGAAACTTCTTGAAAAAGTAGGAACATTGCTCCAGTGTTCTGGTTGAATTCCAGTTTGGGTTACTGTCTTGAGCCTTGATAGATTTTCCATGTGATTTCAACTGGATACACTATCCTTCCTCACTTCCTGTTCCCAGACTGTTATATAGCATGCTGTGCATTGTTAAACAGCTGTTGTATTCTCACCTAGAGGCAGCTACATTTTAGTGGTGGGTCGGTGAGACGATCTCTGTCTGTGTGTGCGCGTGTGTGTACATGTGAATATAAATCTATGCTGCATACACACACGGACAATAGAGGATCAGTTATATCCTTACCTCACAGTAAGCAGCGGCCGTAACTCAGAAGAGGTGATTATTATCTAATAACGCATGGGTATGTTCTACCATAGGTCCAGTGAAATCAAAGGCAGGAAAGACCTACAAAGTCATCCTCAGCTGACCTTTGTATTTGTAGGGCCCTGTGCAAACACAGTTATGCATAGCCACAGGGAGATTTCAAGTATTCCTGCAGGAAAGCAGCCCCTGAGCGCCTCTGTCCTTCTGAGCGTCAGCAGTGGGCTCTACAGGTGTTTGAGAGCTGTGTGAAATGGGGTTTAGGCTCTTTTGAACCAGATAAATGACAAAGTGGCCCTTCTCCATCTATCTGCTTGCAGGCTCAGGGATGGCCTCTCTGGAACACAAGTCCAGGGCAGACGTCCTTAACTGTGCCCTAGTGAGGCCCACTCCTGCTGAAATGGAATGTCGTTTGACGTGGAATTGAGAGGATAAGACATGCAGGTAAAACCTAGGAAAGGAAGCATACTGGTACCTGCTTGTTGAAATATCCTCAAAGGGGTAAAGGATCTCTCCATTGTTACAAATCTCGCAGATGAAGCCCTTTTGGCTACAAAGGCTGCAGCTGTACACATGAGAAGTGGCAAACTTGATTACCTTCCCCAAGAAAGGAGCCAATTTTCCTTCAATAACCTGGAAGAAGAAAACGACGACATTAACAAACCCATCTGGGAGCAGAATTCCTTGAAACAGTGACATGTTTGTCTCACTTTCATTAAGACAGGGAAGTGGCTACTCACAGCCAGTTGAAATAATCTGAATATAACTCCCAGTTATAGCTGCATGAAAATCCTAAGTACGGTCAAAGTAATATTAATGGTCAAATCTGCGCAGAACTGACAATGGTGAAAAGTGGAAAATTCATGTGATTGCGCCCCTGTTAAACATATGTATGGCAACAACATTACTGAATAGTGGATCATTTTACGTACCACATATGTTCAAATACCAAGGCACGATGGGGTAAGATAGGGGTTTGTCTACAGTGGGGGAATGCACTCTAGGGGGTGTGATTTCTAAAATGCACTAACTGGTCTGGACAGACTCTGCTGGTGGACACTAAACATGTCCTAGTGCCCTTTAACATAGTGCTGTTTGAAACAGTACTACATTAAAGTGCACTAGGGAACTTCTAGTGCACACCAGCAGCGGTCACACAGACCAATTAATGTGCAACATGTAGTGCCTTTAGAAACCAGCCCCCCCCCCCCACAGAGCACATTACCCCACCGTGTAGACAAGCCTAAGAAGAGAGTTTCATTCTTTCATATAAACACAATTGCAGAAAGATCTGTGACAGCTCAGAAAATTATCTTCAATTCTTTTCCTTTTTGTTACTTTTTATTCACATTTTTTAGCCCAAATGCCAATGATGTTTTAAAATCCTAATTTTCTCTTCATCACAAACCACAGCTCTGCACCCAAATCTATTTTTTTCCATTGATCAAATGGAGGTTTCTAATTGTAACAGAGGTGATTTTTTGGTACATCGATAATCATTCCAACATTATATTGATTCTTTTCTACAACGAGATGAATTCTAAAATAAATTACTCAAAGGAAACGGTAGTTTCTCCTTAAGTGACCAGCTCTCCAATCAAAAAGACCCACATCAATCCACTATTATACAATAGTGTAAGGCAATCAAAAGTGCTTTGCACTCCCTTCTTGGTGTGAAAAAACTGTGTAATGTAGATTAAGCCCCAAGCCATAACACTCTAAATTTCTGATTCAATGACAACGTCTCAATAAGGGCGCTTCAGGCAAAATACTTCTTCAGACAAAATTTCATGAACTTTAAGAAATTCTGCTAGTGTAAGGAGTAATGAGCAAAGCACAGAGCCCTCATATGATACTTTCCCTCCCCTCTCTTCCCATGGTGTGAACGGCAGCCTGCTAGATTACTGCTGGAAACGTGTCGTAGGATTTGACACTGACCTACAGTTAATAGGAACATCATAACTGTTCTTTAAAGGAGTATGCTAAAGATGTCCCCAGCTCCCAAATAGATGAAGGATCATATTTAACTGCATGCCTAACTTGCCAGGTTTGGCTCACATGGATTTTCAACACATTTTGCTCATTGGTTTTAAATCACACGATTTCATACCACTTGATTTTCACTGGAAATTTCAGGTTGATACAAAGCCAACGTGGCCAAGGTGAAGCTCAAAGCAAAGCTGGAGAATACAAATCCCAGTAGCATTCTTCATCTCCGTCTAGCAGTATTACTTCTAAAGGCCCATTCTATCTCATCACCCTTCCCATCGCCATCGCTGGGAGAACACGAACAGGAAAGGAAATGTAATGGATGCCACTGAGTGGAAGTGTCCCCTCCTCAGGGCCGGCTCTAGGCACCAGCAAAACAAGCTGGTGCTTGGGGCGGCACATTTTTAGGGGCGGCATGGCCGGCGCCAGAATGCCGCCTCTAAAAATGTGCCCCGGCCGCCCTAGCTCACCTCCGCTGCTGCTGCCACAGCGTGTGAAACAGCTGATTCGTGCGCCGCGGTGGCTCGGGGTCTCCCCCTCCCTCCCAGGCTCTCAAACCTGGGAGGGAGGGGGAGATCCCGAGCGGCCGTTTCGCGCGCCACTGCTCCCCCTCCCTCCCAGACTTGAGAGCCTGTCGGGAGGAGGTAGGGCTGGGGATTTGGGGAAGGGGCGGAGTTGAGGCGGGGCCGTGGGTGGGGTAATTAAAGAAGGGGGGGGGGGCAGCCAAAATTGTTTTTGCTTTGGGCGGCAAAAATCCTAGAGCCGGCCCTGCCCCTCCTTGCCAAAGCTCCACACTGTTGAGACCATCTGTGAGAACAGGAAGCGGCGATGTTATTGCTAGCGTTACAGATAGGACATCTGCT